GGGCGTTACTTCGTAGGAAGTCAGATTGAATCCGTTGGTGTTGTTCCTTCCAGGCCACATGATGCCACCGATTGTGGGTGACTGTCCGGGGATGACCTCAGAGAGAGCTATGATGGGCATTGGGGCTTCGCCTGAAGAGAAGACGGTTCCTGATTGGGCAAGATCAGAGTAGTTGCCATAAGTACGGTTTTCTGGGAGATAGGTTGCCCAGAACTGGCCAAAGGCGTCGGCGACGGAGACAGGAAGTCCTGTCTCTGCCTTTGCGCCAACATTTTCAAATATATCTGTCAGATAGGTGGTGATGTTGCCGTCCGGACCCAGGGTGTAATCGACAGTGAAGTTGATTTGTTTTCTTAGAGCACTTATGGATATGAAATCGTTGGCAGCTCTGCGTAACATGTAAGCACTCTACATTCGTTGGCCAGGGGAAGACGCAGTCAGATAGAGAACAGTCGGCAGAACTTACAGTGTGCTCACGGTCAAGGCACCTCCACCACTTAGACCAGTGATATATGACAGAACCTGCGTCAAACCACCCGTGCGAGCAGCAACGGCAGCCGAGTTGCGGGCATCAAAAGCCTGCCATATCCCAAGACCTCCAACACCCGACTGAGTGCCTCCTCCGGAGACGGAGAGACCAACGACGGGATAGTTGGAGGTATTGAGACGCTGAATGTAGCCTTGGACATCGAATCCAGAAATATTCGCCAATGTGAGGTAAGAGCTGAGCGCGGGGATGACCTTTTCGCCGCGGCTTACCCTCCAAGATGATTCCGAGCGCGAGAGTCCCTTACAGAAGAAAGTCAACAGCTATGCTTAAAGTTCATGGGGGGCAAAACCTCAAGTTACCTCTGAAGCTGACCGCACTGCCAAGCCTAAGGGACAGCTTGTGTAGACGGGCGCAAAGGGGTCGACGTCTCCTTGTCCCTGGGCGGAGGCTAGGCCGGCCAAGAGGAGGACGCCGCCAAGAGATTGGCGATTTATCACGGGCATGGTGTACTTTGCTTCCTAGGCTATCAGGACACAGGTTAGATATGAGGAGCCGAAAGCTGCTCGAGCTCTATCTTGAGAAGGTAGGCAAAGCTTGCTTTATCTACCAGCTGTGCCAGTGAGCTACCTGTAGTGTAGTATAGGTACTTCAAGACGCCTCGCCATGGTCCTCTTGTCCCGATGCATCACCCCCGGCTTCATCGACAAGGTACGATCAGGCGGTCCCCGCAAATGGAACAACTTTGTCTCGTAGAAACAACTACTCGTCTCGCTTCTGAATCACTTGTGTTCGGGAGCACCTATTGGGATAAGAGATGCAGACGGGCTTGACGGGCTAAAAGCTTGTTCCTGTTAAAGCACAAGGCTATTTCCTTAGGGCTGACTTACAACCATGTCAGTCCAATGAGGTCATTGAGGCTGGCCGCATCCGGCTCAAGTGATGCATGCCATGTCACGGTCCAAAAATGCAAACGCACTTCCCGCAAGCCCCCTGTCTTAGTTCTTCTCGGATGAGATCCGGTTCTCTGGGAACGCTAGTAGAAAGGTGGGATTCTTAATCTTGTTGCGCACCTGTGAGTTCTCATTGGTCTTGTCGATGCAAAGGATGAGTCGAAGGATCTTGCAAAATTTGACAAAAAGCGCTCGAAGAGGCGCCAGCCGACGTGAAGATACCAAGGCCGACCACTCCTCTCTCGTAGTTGCTCTACAGTCTGGCTTCAAGATCTTGTAGTTTTCTGTTCGGGCAAGCTTTCAGGCAGGAGAAGAAAATGTGCTGGAAAAGTAAGTGACAGACACTTGCACCGAAAGCGGCAATGGCTGAGACTAGTTGGGTGCATCGACAACAGCTAGATGAGATTTCACTACTTTCGGTGTAAGTCGATAAGCCTGCTGGCTGAAAGCCAGGTCTGATTCGCCTGAATTGGACCAAGAGGCTCTTGATAGGCCTACTGGTGATTTGCCTGACCTAGCTTGGTAGCTTCGGATGACAAGCAAAGTCAAGTCCCAAAAGCACAGTGCTGTCTCCTCCTGCGAAGTCTCATTTATTGTACCTTAGTTTGGACCAAACGTCGAAGTTGCCATATGTAATTATAGATTGAGGCTCCAAGGTCTGCTCAAGTGGACTTAATACTCGAATCATGCAGAGAGTCTTGACTCGCCAATCGTTCCGCAGCGTCTTACCCGAGAGTGCGTTTCTGCATTTCTTGTCCTGCATGAAGGTGGCACACTTGACCTTTGCGAAGTAAATAAGACCCACTTTCATTTCCAGAGACTCCGTTTTCCAACTCTGCAGGCGCCACTGCACCCCGCTCCGATCCATAGACCCATTTCCCGGCTGCATCGTCAACTCCGCCTCTCCAGCTCGAGATTCGGAATCAAACAACACGGCCCTCTGGCGCAACGGTAGCGCGTTCGACTCCAGATCGAAAGGTTATCCGTTCAAATCGGGTGGGGGTCACTCTTTTTGCGCCTTCTGTGAAGCTATCGTGAGGTTTGTTTTGGTTGTGGTGGTGTTTTGGTGATGTTGCACAGGAACTCGGTTTTTGGGGGTTTGTGGGAGAAACTAGGGTTTGTGATGGAGACAATGGTCAGGACGCTCTAGTTACAACACGATCTCTTCTGACAACGTCATGTAATTATTGAAGAAGGATGTTGAGTGTTATGTTATGAGGTGGAACCCAGTTGTGTTCTAGTTCTGGGACTCAATTCTTCACAGTATGAATTATCGCAGGCGCCTCAATTGACGCGTTTTATATCTTTCTGCATTTAATAAACCGGAAGGATGTTGATGAGCAATGACTCAATGACTTTGAACATCGATCGCAGGGAGACAGATGGTGCTAAAATAATTATACCATGACCAACAGAATGGAACCGAATATTCTTGGCCTTTTGCCAGACGTTCATCTATCTCACACCTCTACATCTACCCTCTACACCAGCTCTTTTCCTTTCTTTTGCTTCTCCTTCGTCTATAACTCTATTGCGCCTCATCTCCTCTAGTTGAAGTTCTCCCGAAACGCCGCCAACCCAACGCCCTTTTCCCGCAACACGGCCTTAGCATTCCCATTGACCCCCTCCACCGGCCCCCGCTCAAACGTGAAGACCTCCTTCACGCCCAGGCTCTCGAGGTACTTCACGTTGCGTTTGTAATTCGTCGCGACCTGTGCGATGCCGTGGCTATCGTCTGAGAATGTGAAGCGGCCGCCCATCGCCAACCATGTCTGTGATACGGAGTTAGTCGCAAGAGATCAATGGCTACACCACCCAAGATGTCTTTCGAGCTTTGGAGAAAGGACCAAGAACACAGGAGGGGAGAAGGGGGAAAAGAACTTACCTCTGCAATAGGTCGGCACGGATAAGGCTCATCAAGACCCTTCCTCAACGCACTGCTATTACACTCCAACAAGCCCCCATACCCCTTGACGACCTCCAGATTCCTCACAATCTTCTCCCACACCCCCTTCCACTGCCTCACGTCCCTCCCCGGATCCTCGCTCATGAGCCTCACGAGGTCAAAGTGGCCCACCACGCGCGGCTCTAGCGCCGTCAGCATCTCGTGCTGCTGGTCGTAGTACCGCGCGTACATGCTCTCCTCGTCGGCGCCGGCCGACTTCATCGCCTCGACGTACATGTCCCGGCTGTAGTCGATGGGAATGGCGTTGACGTGGTGCAGCGACCCGATGAAGTAGTCCACCGCCGGGTGGGACGCGAGGGCCTTGATGAACGGCCCGTAGGCCGGGCGGTACCACTCCCCCTCGAAGCCGATGAGGAGGTCGATCTGCGGGGCGTACTTTTCGCGCAGGCGCTGGGCTTCGGCGAGGTAGGCTTCGTGGCGGGGGGCGAGGATGGAGAGGGCTGTTTGGGGGTCTCCTTCTTCGAGCTGGTGAATATTTTGGTCAGGATTGTTAAGTTTCTCATGAGAGCTATGTTCGGGGTGTGTGTGATGAGACTGAAGTGAGTTCTTACCTCTTCAGGGTAGAGGTCTCCAATCTCTAGACGGGGCATGTGTTCCGTCAGACCCATGGTCTTGTACCCGATGCTGATGGCATGCTGGATGATGGCCTCGAGCTGGTCCTTTGCGTGGCCGGGGCAGAATTGCCCCGAGTGGGAGTGCATCGTGAACGCCATGGTGAGTCGATGAGTTGTGCGTGTGTGTATTCGGTTGGTCTAAGTGAGAGAAAATAAGATGAGATGAGATGAGACGAACTTGAGATGAGTCAGGTCCCCGTTGCTGGCTAGGTTCGCAAAGGGCTGGCTGGTGACGTAGTTTGAGAGACAGTAAGAGAAAATTCCAACTAAGCTGGGCCACGCTTCACAACTTGAGTGAGCGGTGAGATACAGAATCTACAAAATGTCTGAAGATGAGATGCGATATCCCGGCCGAATATGTGTAACAGGACTCGAGTATCTCCGATTACCTCAAGATAAGAACCTGGTCAATCGGCCAACTAAGTCTGGGATGCGTAAAACATGCGCTGTAATGGGTTCCCCACCAAAGAAAATTTCGGGGCCCGGCGGGTAGCCGCAGCAAATCGCTGACGTTGATCCGTCCACGTTGACGCGCATAATCCCGCTACTTTGTAAATCAAGTCTCTGCATGCCAAGGCTTTTGGCCGCGTCCGCGGACGTCCACGAGGTTACATGGGATCTTGGTTCCATGTCACATTTATAGGCATTTCGGCCAATCATGGCTCTACGTTGACAACGTCTCCAATGGCTTCAATGGCAGTATCGAAGTACATGACCAGTACAAGAAAAGAGAGTTATAGTATTTAGAGAGGAATCAGAGGATCAAGAAGAAAAAGAATAACTCGGACGAGAGGGTATCAAGACGGCGAACTCCAAGTACACGGCTCAAAAAGCCCGATTCGCAGAAAACAAAGTTCTATACTTGGAGAAAAGCGTTGGGCAAAGGAGACAAAATAAACAAATGACTTTTCAAAGACTGCGACGGCCCAAATCTGTGTCAGTGCTTCCACCCCAAACCTCTCGGTCTGTGACACAGCGCACTATTGCCTCTGCGGAGTTTCCGGGATATCCCAAACCGACTTTGCCGGCTCCTCCGGATCGGCCTTAATTGCCGGCTCTTGCTCGACCTCAGACGGGGCGCTCATTCCCGGCGGCGCAAAGGGGATCGCAGATGTGGAGGTGAAGACTGGAAGATCGGCACGCATCATCTTTACCGGAGACTTCTTCATGGGGGACGGTTTGGCTGAAGACAGCTTGACTGGCGATGGCTTAGACGGCGAGGCTTTGACGGGCGTGTTGGTGTTGGGCGGCATCCACTTCAGGGGTTCTGACGGCGTTACGGACACAGGTGGAGGACCCTCCGGTTGGTAGTTGATGAAAACATCCGATGAGGGTGTTGCTACGGTTGGCGACATCGCGGCGGGTGAGCTGGCGGGGAGCTCTACTGAACGAGGATCAGGGGTGGCGACGAGAGGCATTTGCTCCGTCACTGGAGTTGAGACTTCAGGCCGGCCTTCTGGAACGGCGGGCGGTGACGGGGCTTCAAAAACCGGAGGCTGCGTTGGCGGTGTAGCGAAAGCCTCGTCTTGCGGAGGTGTGACGATCGGAGGTGCCACCGGCGAGTAAGCCGTCTGTGCTTCAAACGGGAAATCCGTCTTTGCTTCCTCGGCTGTGGGGGGTGTGGCAGCTTTGGCTTGAGCGGCTTGAGCTGCTTGTGCTGCCTTGGCACGCTCTTCTTTCTGTGTTTTCGTGATCAAGTTGATCTTGACCTTCTTCATACCGGCAGTCAACTTGTCCATATCGTCCTCCGATGCAGCAGCTGGGCTCGGCTTTCCTTGAGGCGGCTGAGATGGTCCAGCCTGCTGAGGAGGAGAGGGTTTCGCCATTGCGGCAGGCTTCTTCACAATTCTGGTGGTTTTGGGGGCTTCCTTCTTGACTGCTGGAGCTCTTGTCTTCTTAACATTCAAAGACGTAGCACTCTGAGTTCTGACACTCATCGCAGTGTCTGGTCGCACACTCATAGAAGTGTCGGGACGCTGAGCTGAAACTCCGTTGCTCTCGAACTCTGTGTTAGGAGCATTCGAAGCCACAGTAGACACACCACTAAGGCGTCGACCAGGTCGCTTAGCTGCTCCATTTGTGTCAGAGGGTATGCCTCGGGCCGTTGCCTAGTGTCGTCGTCAGTTTGAGTCTATTTGCGATACTACGAGGAGTGACAAACCTTCTCAGATGACAGCGCAGCAGGGCCCGCGACCGTTCTTCGCCGATTCTTGGACTGCTTGTCATCATCTTCGTCTGCATCAACGTATAAGCCAGGCTTCGCTGGCTTCCGCTCTCTCAGAGACATTCGCGAGGTAGGCCTGCTTGCTGGCTTCGGAGCGGGCGCGGGAGCAGGTGCCGGCGGCACAAGATCAGGGTTCAGAATTGACTGCCGGTCTCTCCGAGCCCTTGTAGCCTCCGCATTTAGGTCTTCAGGTTTGCAGCTATCGACTTGGCGATCCGACGGAATGAGTAGCCTGCTCAGCTCATGGGCTGCTATGGTCCATGGCACATCGGGGGGAGGTGGTGTTGCTGGTCGCGAATATGGCATTCCATTCGACAAGCCGGACGCCATTCGTCTCATCCTTGCCGGATCTATGGACTTACCAATCGACGCCTGTGTGGGAGTTGAGTATGTCGGCGGAGTTGAGTGCCGTATCATCTTGGGACTGGCTGGTCTGTTGCCCATCGCAACTTCTAGCTCGTCGAGTTCGGAGCTCGACCACCATGACGGTTTGTAAGGATGTAGAGATGGCTCGCCAGTGATGGCTGCAGCGATCTGCCCTGCCATTTCGTCGCCGAGTGAAGAGCGACCCCGAGTGGGCTCTTCCGGGGTCTGATTTCCTGAGAGTCCGCTCAGATGGCTGAAAATACCAGAGTAAAGAGCTCTGTCGCTGTAGCCGCCCTCGAGCACGCTGATTACGCGCCCGTCAACTCCCAATCCTTCCTCTGCGGCAAGCTTCACAACATCTTGAGCAATACGAGCGTAAAACTCGGTAGGAACGTTCACGTTATGACGTTGCATACCCTTGGTCTCCCACTCACTGGCATCGAATCCGGCCGAGAAGAAGATTGCCGCCTTGGGAGGCAGATTCAAAGCACGAAGGCGAGCCGCTTGGTTTTTCAGATACTTGCGCGTCTTCTCCAGGATTACTGAGTACCTGGTCTCGTATAGCTCCCAGAACTCCTTCTCTGAACCGTATGATTCCAGGTGGACGTTGTAGATGTTTTGGCCGTGGGCATTGTCAATACACAGACTAGCATTCTTGACCTTCTCCTCATCACCCCACTCACAGGGGTACGAGTTGATGTCGTGAAGACTAAAGTAGCCGATGGACGCCTTCTTCCACGCTGCCGTGTTCTTGGCCGCATTCACTCCCCGTGAGTTATGCGCCCAAGTGATGGCTTGGGAGCCATCTCCGTGGTGAAGATCGAAATCGATGATAGCCGCATGGGTAAGGCCATGGTTCAGAATGCCATGCATAATACCGACATGGACGTTATTAACCCAGCAAAATCCTGACGGGAAAGAAGCTGAGCAATGATGTCCCGGTGGGCGTACAGCGACAAAGGCTCGTCGAGGACCTGATGTGAAAACGCGGTCTACGGCCTCGCAAACGGCACCCAGCGCGCCCTCAAAAGCCTCCAGCGATTCGGAGCAAAGATAGAGGTCACCCTCGTGGAATTTCGCAGGCGGTCCGTCTGAACCTCTGTTTAATTCTGGCCTCTGAAGCTCCTTCCCACCAGTCGCCAACTTTATCTCTGCTCCTTCGCACATCATCTTGAGCTCCTCCATCCACTTGGTGCCGTGGACGTTGGTGACAGCTGCCGATGTCAGGGGCAGTCTCCGTTCGGTCTTGTAGATGCGAAACGGAATCGTCGGGATGGTAGAGGGATCCAGACTTGGATGGAGCGCATATGCGCCATCGCAGTGCCGTTCCCCGAGCCGCACGTAGGCCATGGCAACCCCCAACACGCCGGCCTTGATTCTCTCAGGCCGCTCAACGATAGTGCTGAGAGCGCCCTTGGACGTCTTGGGTCGAGAGAAACGGTGGCCGTAGCAGGCATCGTGGAGAATGACGAGGGTTTCCGTTGCTCGAGTCGAAGTTGGCGAGTGGTGAACCTCCAATTCGGCCTTGAAGTAATCGCGGGCGACCGTATTCGCTGTGGGCGCAGGCTTGATATACTCAGGGGGGCTCGGGCGCAAAGGGGATTTGGCGACAGGAGAAGAGGCATGCACCATGCTAGTTCGCCTCGAAGGCGCTCGGCTAGGGGTTCGGCTCGAAGAGCCACTCACAGAGTGCAAGGAACTGGTGGAGGTCTTGCGCTGAAGTGTTGGCGTTGAAGATCGCTGCAGCGTCGGCGTCGAAGATCGGGAGCGGGAGAGCTCTCTCGCAAAGGAGGGACTTCGAGACGGGGCTCGTGGACTCGGTGCCGGAGATGTTCGATTTACGGCCGGTCTCATGGGAGACAGAGCGCTCGAAGCCCGGGGTGAGTTGCTGGCGGATGATGTCGAAAGGGAGAGCTGCTTGAGCGAATGCGCCAGCTCCTTGTCTCCATCATGAGAGGATGTATTCAGCAGTGATGGGCGCCGCGATGGCGCTCTTTCGAATGGAGAGGCCATGGCAGAGGCGCAAGACCCATGAAATCTTGCGTGGTATCTCGGATGAGAGAAAAGGTTGGGGAAAACAATAAAGTGAGAAACCGGTAGCAAAAGAAAATGTCCCGAAAGTGAAGTTTTGGATAAGTGCGGTGTGTAGCTGCTTCTGACAACTTGCAGCTGGCTGCAGGGGAGGTGGTGGGTAGGGGACTTTACGTATTAGTTGACCGCCCGCCAGCACATCGTCACAGTTGTCACTTGTCCGTCGCGTCTGTTCTGTGTACACAACACGCGTCATAAGGTGCATAATTGCGATCACGTGGGGATCAACAAATAGGGGATGCGCGGGGCATTTCGCCTGATCCCGCTTGGGCTGAGAGAAGCGCAGGCGCTACCGATTCAAGTGGGGTTCAGACAATACCATGTGGGGGCACGATCGTCACTCCCTCGTGCAATGCAACGTCCGCAGTCAAACGTCCACTTACATCTAACCAACGCCTTTTTCTCCAGGAGCTTAATATTCTTCAACGGGCTTTCAAATGCATCAACACAATTCGACATACCCGATGCTTTTCTGAGCACCTTTATTATAATAAAATACACGACCATCTGCCGAGAAGACCCGAAAATCAGTCATGTCATCACTACAGAGAGGTAGATGGTATGGGTTTTGACCAGAACATGGCATTAGAAGGGGCCAAAAGATAAGCCACCCAAAGGAAAGGTGGTATCAGTCATTTCGAGCCTACCTTGGGACTGGTTATATAAGCACCAAAAAGTCATTCAGACTGACAAAAGAGTTCACCCCCCCGGTGCTGAACTGGGGGCTACATCTCTTGGTGCTCATGCTGGGATTCGAACTGGGTACTCGTATGCGCTTAGCCTGTCGTCGAGTAGGCTGGTTGGCGATTTGATCGTTGACCATTAACCACTCCACCACCCAGCCAGTTTGACCTGACCCGTCGACCTAGACGGGCGCCTGCTGGCTGGTGACAGGAATGGGTTTGAGGGGGTATATCAAGGCTTCTCATGGCACGTGTGGAAGGTACGCCTGCCTCTTTCGATGAGAAGGAAGGAGCAGAACGCCACTACCGCCTCCTTTCTGCCAGGCGAGGTACCTGGGTAGAATACGGAGGTGGTGCGCCTCGTTCCGTGACCACAGCCAAGGTAAGGTGGGTACCACCTTCCGTAACCATAGATTGATCAGCGGAAACAGGCGTCCACCAACCTGGAGGGTCTTTCTGCGCGTCTGGGACGTATGGAGGGGTCATTTGTGAGCAGGCACCATAACGGCGACAAATAATATACCTTATTGACAGGTTGTTGAGTCTTGAGATCTGTAATACCCAACCCTGACACCGTCGGACGGAGGTTCATCAACGATTGGATTGCCCGTTTCTACGGAGTACATTATCGGAGCCACATATGAGGATCCAGTTGGTCGGAACCGAGATGACAGGGCAAGGGACGCTAAAACATCTGTTTGGTGTGATTGTCAGTATTCCTGGCGTATCCCCTCTATGCAAACTCAATTATTGTGCTAATGTTTGCTCATTTCAATCCACTCTGTAGATTCTGCCTCGCTTGCCCCTTTATCAGATGAACGACTCAGAGGCGTTTCTTCGTGCCTGATTGTATGTTCAGTCACCTGCTCGCAGCCCTTGACGTTGATATTTCTGCCACCTCTTAGGCTTCTTCCGCGTTGACCGCCACGTACCATGCTACCTGCTACCTGCTTCAGCCACCGAGCCGCAAAATGTTGTGGCAGCAGCAGTTGGTGGCCACAGGAAGAGGAGAAAAGAGACAGCTCGGTCAGGCCACAAATGCTTGTTTCCCACCCTTATCAATGCAGCTGCCACAAATTCTGGACGCCGAGTGATTCACTCCCATAGCATATTAGGGTTTAAGGCCACCGGGAAAGGGTGTCTCCGTTGGGTGAATGAGGTTTCTATAATAGAGGGAAACCGCATGACTGAATGAGCCCGCCATTCGAATGATTTACGAAAAGCACTATATATTGGTGTCAGATTTCTTTCCTTCAATACGATAGCCCCTCCATACAGAGATAAAGACGACTACCAAGAGACGAAACCTTCTCAAGACGTGAGAGACTTCGGACCCGAAATACAATGAAAGAACATACAACACACAGAATGTACCAATCAATACAGGACATACCGGTCGGGGAAATCCTCCCATTCGACCATGTGCTTCAGCTCGCAGACCGCTCCAAGTTGCTAGCGGCAAGGGTCCAAGAGTTCAAGAGAAACGACGGTCTCAGGACGCCAGAGGAACTCAGGGTCTTGACCTCCACTGTGGACGAAGTAGAGCAGATTTTGCGGCCCTATACCATGGCTGTGCTAGACTGCATGCTTGGGGATATTTATGAGAACATCCTTCGGGAGCAAGACGGCACAAGGACGGGCTTTGATGAAGCGATGACGCGAATCACCCGCGCACTTCGACCGGCCTCCTTGGAGATGGATTCTGAACCCAACGACAGCATGCATACCTTAAGTCTCGAGGAGACTCTCGAGATTGTAGGGAGATTCCGGCGCCTCATCCTTGGGTTTGAGGACCTTGACAGGCTGACCCGCCAGCCCGTACATGTACGTACCTCACCACATTCTTGGTTTCAACCCCCTTTTACTCGTAATTAGTGAAGTGATGCTCATTTACCTTCGCACTAGGATACGCTGGCTCTCAGTGAGCGGCAGGTCGAGGCCTGTGTAGAAGCTGGCCGCCTGAAGGTGCTCATGGGCTGCGTCTTTGACGCCATCGTCTCGTATACCCGCGAGCGACTGCCACCTAGGATATCTACTTACACCGTGGTAGTGACGGTGGTTCGATGCGAGCGTCTTCGGCGACACGAAGGCGAGGGCCCACCTCTTCTGCGAAGACAAGATGCCACTGTTGGCCAGGAGAGATTCGCACCACCCAGTCTACCGAGACAAGATGCCACTCTCGGCCAAGGAAGCTTCGAACCGCCCAGTCTGCTCAGACAAAATGCCACCGTTAGTCAAGGCACCGTAGCGTCTTCTAGGCATTCGTCCCAGAATACACCTCGTCTGCGAAGAAGAGATGCCACTATTGGCCAACGCACGGAAGCCTCAACGTAAGCTAAAGAGGTTTAATCAAGCGGAAGGGTGCCAGTCTGCTCGACAAGATGACACTCTTAAGGAGGATCTCGAATGGAGCCAGAGCTCACTCCGTTTGCTCGGACACAATGGGGAAGTTCATGGCAAACTCGCCAAGTAGATTGAAGTCCTCACAGAGCACGATGTGGAGTACCTACACCGACCGAACACCACCTAGATTATCAAAGTCGCAGACGGTCTGAGCCGAATCCACGACAGACTCCAAGACACCCCCCCCCCCCCGATGAACATCAAGGACCGACTGGCCTTCGAAGCTGAAGTTCGCAACCGAATGATTGTGGGAACCGCGAAGCACGACAACCCTGGGTTAGGGCCGAAAATCACTTTGGGCAGCGATACGGCAGCCGCTAGGAGAAGAGAGTCTTGGCGTCTAGATGTAGGAGCAGAAGAGCCGAGTCAGTGCCAGTCCAGCGAGCAAGCTCGACCTGACACTTGGTAAACTAGCCATGTTTGGAGTCACAGTCAGCGTCGAGAAACCATTATCAACGATGGGCGTTCTGACTTTGGACACGCTGTTTCGCCTTACTGACTCTCAACGCGGAGAAAGGTCTTGGCGTCCAGATATAGGAGCAGAAGAGGAGGGTCAATGCCGTAAAAGAAGCTCTGGGCGGAGGGGAAGTCCAGCCAGTAAGCTCGACCGGATATTTGGCAAAGTAGGTGTAGGTTGAACTTATAGTCAATGCCAAAGAATCATTATCAGCGATGGGCGTTTTCAACTGCATGGTTTCGGACACGCCGTTTTGCCTTATTGACTCTCAATGTGAGGGGCCCAATCAAGAGAAGACTTACAGCTCAGTAGCATGGGCAGACACTGATCTCGGAGGCTTAGTCGGTATCAGTGATCAGTAAACAATTTCACCAGTGTCTCAATCATCTTCAACGTGAAATAGTCTTGACGACAGCCGTGAGTTTACTCGTTTATTAAATCGACTCCTACTCTCTTCAGAGACTCAACAGCCCACTCTGGATACTTTGACTTGTCGTAGTCGTAAAGATCGCCGAAGAACTGCCTAATAAGGGCAGGGTACCTGTCTTCGATAACAGCTTGCCGGATATCTTTCATGAGGTTCAGCTGATACCAGACGTTGTGTATGCTCAGCAGGTGAGCAGCGACCGTTTCCTTGCCCGCATTATGGTTGATGAAGGCCCTAGTCACACCTAGACCACCCTCGCCCTTCCGGCAACAGATACAGCCACATCCTTCCTCAATAGGGCCGTAGTCGTTCTCATATCGCCAGTTGCGAATGTTCAGTACGCCGTGCTTCGTGATTGCGTTGCCAAACCGGGCTGTCCGCGTCGGCCAGACACAGTCGAACATATCCGCTCCCAGGGCGACGCTCACAACCAAATCCTCGGGGTATCCGATACCCATGACATATCGAGGTTTGAGATCCGGCAGCAGCTCGGTACACGTCTCGACAACACGGCAGTAATCCGTCTTAGCCTCGCCACCACTCAGACCACCAATGGCGATGCCTGGGGTATCGCGCGCCAACATCTCCCGTGTGCACTCCCGTCGCATTTCGAGATCGAGACCGCCTTGGATGATGCAGAAGAGGTTCTGGGTCTTGGGGTTCTTGTGCGCTGCGATGCACCGATCCAACCATCTTACACTTCGCTCCATGGCCTCGCGCATACGGGCTGCGTCGGGTGATGTCGTGACAAGTACGTCGTCGAGCTGCATCATGATGTCGCTTCCAATCGAATTCTGCAGAGACATGGAGTGCTCTGGAGTCAAAAGCATGGGCGAACCATCGTGGGGGCTGAGGAAGCGCACACCCTCCTCAGTGATTTTCGCCAGCTTGAGGAGACTGACCATTTGGAAGCTATAGACTTAGTCAGTAACTGGTGAAGACCTTCGCAATCCAGTCAAGAAGGTATATGTACCCTCCACTATCCGTCAAAAGATTGTGTTTCCATCCTTGGAGCTTGTGCGCGCCGCCGATCTTGTCCAGTACGTCTTGGCCGGGCTTCAGGCCGAGATGGTAGGTGTTGTTCAGGCACAGGCGGCAGCCCGTCTCTTCAAGCTGCTCGGGAGTCAAGCCTTTGAGCGAAGCTTGTGTCGCGACAGGCATGAATATCGGAAGCTGGACCTGGCCGTGAGGAAGCGTCAGGATGGATGCGCGGGCTCTCGTTGTCTGGCCTAAACCGTTAACATGCGAACTAGGAATCACATGAAGATTGTGAGTCAAAGTACGGAGGTGGGGGATGCTTACTGAACAGCGAGCGACGAGCTCGAAGGTGAGAGCGGGCGAGGACCCGACATTGGTTGACGCCATCCTTTTCGCTATCCACATGAGCGATCGCGCAGTCCACAGGCTGCTGGCTGCGATGTGGCAGGAAGGGGGAAAGGGCTGAGTGCGGGTTGGCAAAATGCAATTCTCCAAATTCGAACCGCTACTCCGTAGACGATGCGCTTTCCCATCGGCGCTGGTGGGGCCGTTGAGTGTCCTTCCTGCCGAATGTCCCTCTAAATTTCAAACCCCATCCTATGTACCTGACCTTAAGCCTTAAAATACCGAGGTAGCTTCTGTGTGCCTCGCTAAGACCTGAAAATACTGTTCGAAGGCTTTTATCTAGTTCGAAATTTGCAAATTGTCGGAGTATTCAACTTCGCAAAGTTCCCTCGCTGTCTCTACCACTCGAAGCCTCTGAGACTGGAGGCCCAGTGTCTCTTATCCCTTAATTGGTTTAGACTGTGCACCATACATGGACATTTCGGGTGACAGTGGAGAGAAGCAGGAGAAACGACAGGGGTAGCTCTCACCCAATCAGGTACGCCGGCTTCTTCCGCACTCCAATTGAAATTTCTCACGCAACGATGCACGCTCGTCACCCGTTCCGCGATACATACGACTGACGACGACCAAGCTCAGTAGAGAGCTTCGCCAGCCGCCATGTCTGCCCGAATGTCGCCCGGAGGGGCGCTGCTGAGATCATCTCGGATGTTCTCTGTGCCCAAGCCGCTCCCTCAACCCGGAGGTCAAGCAGCTGCCATCGCTCGATACGCATCCCCGACGGCGACCGCGCCTTATCCCACGCACCAATCCATCACCACTACCGAATCCTCGAGGGCCCTTGGTGACTGGGGCTTCAAGCGCTCCCTGCCTCTTCGATCCACGACCAAGTCATCGACCCCCGTTGTCCGCATCAAGGATATTGACTGCTTCGAAAACGTCACCGATTACACCTCCGCCGCGGACCACACCTTGTCTCTTCAGAAGTTCCACGAGCTCAACCTGCCCGTCACACTACCTGGCACCAACCGGTCGCGTCTCGGTGGTATCCACATTGGAGCGAAATCTGTATTCGAAGACGATGGTGACTTCACTACTGTCAAGCGTAACGGCGAAAACGAGGAGAAGAGGTGGAAGTTCCAGGGCCCCTGGTTGGCTGGCCTCACTGAGGGCGAATTCAACGCATACCTGCGCAAGGCTGTCCGCAACAAGCGAGCATCATTCCGCAACTTCCTGCGGAAGCGTATTGCATCCGATGAAACGAGCAAGCAGCGTCAGAAATCCCTGGAGGCTGGAGAGAACGCTCCCGCAGCTCTTCGTGCAGGCGACGTAACGGAAGAGCAACTCACAGAGTACATTCGCAAGTTGCGCAACGACCGCATCACCTTGTACTCACTTGTCGGCGAATTCTTGGACCTTGCTCCCCTGAACCCGCCCAGCTCGTTGACCGACTTCAGCAAGTCGACGGAAAAGACCAAGCGCCCTAGCTTGTACGCTGAGCATGGCCCGCCCGCTTCTCACCCCTCTGGCGGTATCTCATACCTCCGCACATCCAACTTCGCCGAGAACCACCCAGTATACGGCCCCCAGGCGCAACATACCCCCGTCCTGGCTCGTATCGTCGCCCCGAGATCAGGAGCCAACAGCGCCAAGCTGGGCGTCGGCGGTTTCATCACGGATGTTCCCCAGGGCGATACAGCTTTCAACCACAGAGCTTTCGTTGGACGCAACAACAAGGTGGCTGGTGTTGTCACTTTCGACCCCGATATCAAGGGAGGCGCCAAGGCCTACGTTTCGCCTACGTCGGCTCGCATTGACTCAGACGGTTGTGTCCAAATCACCGTTGGCGAGGCTAATGAAGAGGCCCAGCTCATTCTGAAGGAGTTGGTTGGAAAGGCCAAGATCTACAACGACAAGACCGAGGTAGAAGCACCCGCACCGGCCCGCAGATTCATCCGAAATGTGCACACCAACAACCAAAGACCGGGAACCAGCGCGGTGGGCAGCTCGAAGAGCTACGGTCTTGACTCTTGAGGGTGGTGAAGATAGCGTTGGAAGCGCTTCTAGTCATAAGACTAGGCGCGAATGAGCCTAGGATAGTAGAGCATGGAGTTGAGTCACACTATGAAGAAACCATCTTTGTATGGCGTTCGCATGTGTGCCGAGTGTACTATGTATGGTATTGTAAAATAAGAAGAATACAACGCAAATTTCGACACTTTCTTGACAGTCTATGATCGTTAAGGAGCAATCGTACTACTAATCTAGCCAAGATAAGGTACTTCAGCTTGTTGCAATACCTACTTGTACCTGGCCGTCGGCGGGAATAGAGGCCAGAGAATATCTTCAACTGCCAAATTATGCTTTTCCGAGAATGGGGGCGCAACTCTTCCAATTCGACGCAATTGTGCATCCTTGGAAGGACCCAGCAGTAAGACGAGAGCCTCGTGTTATATCGGCTCCGTACCAAGGAATGAACCCAATCCGGATCCGAGTGGGGCACCGATTCCTGCCTCGTCCCAGCCATCCACAAGATCACGTGTGATTACATATGCATGCCCCCATGGCCTGTGCACCGAAACTCCCGCTCCCCACACCACGGCCCTAAATTTCGTGTAAAGATATCAAAATTGCATCTGCCCAGCGAAACTTATCGTGAACATCTCGACCGACCAGCCTCACTAACCGACCAACTCCCTCCACCCAGCCAAATACCCCCCTTCCGTTGAGTCAGTACCGCCAAAATGGGTCGCGTTCGCACCAAGACCGTCAAGAAGTCCGCCAAGGTCATCATTGAGCGGTACTACCCCAGACTCACCCTGGACTTCGAGACCAACAAGCGCATCTGCGATGAGATCGCCATCATCGCCTCCAAGCGTCTCCGCAACAAGGTCAGCAAAAGATAGCCACCCAGACGCAACATACGAGTTGGACGAACGAAGGTCCCCGTGAGACCGCTTCCAAACATCGGTGTTGGGGATACGGAAAGGTTGAGAGGGCAAAATTGCTGACTGGAGTGAAATTACAGATTGCTGGCTACACCACCCACTTGATGAAGCGTATCCAGCGTGGTCCCGTCCGCGGTATCTCCTTCAAGCTTCAGGAGGAGGAGCGTGAGCGCAAGGATCAGTTCGTCCCCGAGGTCTCCGCCCTCGACTTCACCCAGAACACCGAGAGCGGCCAGCTCGAGGTCGATGTCGAGACCAAGGACCTTCTCAAGCACCTCGGCGTACGTCTCAACCTCTACTTTGATTCGAAATGATGTCCCCCAATACTGACTATCGCGCCCTGCAGTTCGACGCTATCCCCGTCAACGTCACTCCCGTCGGCCAGACCCAGGTCCAGGAGCGCGGAGGCCGCTTCGGTGGCCGCCCCCCTCGCCGCGACTAAATTTCAGTCGTGGTCGATTGTGGATAAGGAAAATTGGGTGGTTTTTAACGGACTTTTACGGCAAACGGCATATGATGATACACATTGCTACAGGCGTCTTACGGACGGTAGTGAGTTCACACTAGGAACTTCCACAAAGAAAAGTTCTGTTTTCCCACTCAAGGTGTCGCCGATTCTCTAGGGTAATTCCGGAGATGACGCTTGACTGCCAATCTTCTATCCCTCTCTTGCGTACCGTGATGCTGTCCCTCTGACCTTGTAGCTCAACTGAGCCTCCCGTTGAAATGCAGCTAGTTTATGAAACTAGGCCTGCTGTGCATATAGTGATTAAACTTTCGAATCGGTGTGCCTTTGGGTATCAAATCTATCTATATAGAGCGACCGATCATTGCGACGCCTAAATGAGCTCCTCCCACGCTTCAATCATCTCTGGTATCCTCCCGCCCGTAGAATTACATCATGACATTTCTTGGTCACGTTGTGCCTCAAATTGGGAAGCCTCAGCAATGGCCTGCGCCTTGCCAGCTCCCGGTCTGTGTCCCTCAACAAATAAATGGGAGTCGTCTGGATCTCCAAACACGCCATGCTCTGTTGGTGGCTTGACCTCCCTCTCCCTGATGGCAAGAGTGAAAGTATTACCAGGCTGTCCCGTCTCCCGTGTCTCTCCTCTCTCCAAGGCCAATGTGGCAGACTCGTCGGCCGCCCTCCTGCCCTCCTCCAGCTTCAAACTTGCGAGGTCGCGCGAAGCCTGTGATGCAGGGTCCTCCTGCCTCGCCTTCTCCTCTCCATACAGCTCAATCTCAATATCCGGCAACCCCGCCCGCTCCCACGCAGCCGATTCGTTCAGCTGCACCTTGATATACATGGCCCTGCGCTGGCAGTCCTTGGAGCACCACTTCTCCGACTGCTTGCGATTGACGATATCAAAGTCTGCCTTGCCAAAGTTGACGAGCCTCCACTCGCCACCTTTGGAGGCCATCGGCTTCGGCTGCGCGCAGAGGGTGTACCCGCACAAGCCGTTGACGTTGCGCTCCTCGATGAGGTCGTCGTAGTCGGAGGGCTGGAAGAGGCGGATGCCGGCCTTGAAGTCGGCGACGTCGCGTGGGGAAGGGTTGGCGGCGGAGAAGGTTCTGCTGCCGCGCTCGGTGGGGTACTCGGAGAGCTCGGCCAGGCTCTCGAGGATCTGGAGCTCTAGGTCCTTGCGCTGCTGAATGATGCGGGCGTGCTGGAGGGCGATTTCGCGGGGGTCTTGTTTTCGGGGATTGAGGACAGCGTTGGCGGCGCCGCTGCCGGAGGCGGTGGCTCCGGCTGCTGCCTTTTTGAGGATGCCCTTCAGTGGCCGGGCATCGGTAGCCATGGTGGATGTTGTTTGGTACGTGAGGTGGTTGTGGGAGGGGTTCGTCTAGCTTGTGTGCGGCGCGTCGTCTTATGTTTCCCTGTAGGAGCTTCGAGCTCGGCGATGGAAGGTGGTAGAGCCTTTGAAAAATGACTATACGGTGCGCGGAAGGGAAAATGTTGTCGTGGCTACGCGTGTGAGACAGGCTGGAATTAAGATACGATGCGTGGTGGTGAGTGTAGATTGAAGACGTGAACAAGTGAAAATTGTTAAGCAATTGGAGAATGTTCGATCCCGCAAGTGTTACTGTCGGGAATATACACCCCACCCTTCGCACCAAGAGCACTCCCAATCGAGAATCCGCTGTTAGGCATGGAAGCACGCAAGCTGAAGCAAAGCACCAGGGCCGTAGTACGTACCTCCTGCCACCACCCGGCTGCCGCCACGATTGAGGGGGAACAGTCAACAGCCGCCAAGACTTTTACACTCAGGCACATTGGTGTGACGGGTTGACCAGGCGCTTTGCTGGCGAGAGTGTGGCTCGGGGTGCTCGGGTGGCTTGAGCGGCCGTAACTCCGTCCCTCCGCTTCCAAGTTCCCCCCCTCCATTCCCAGCTGCTCCCCCATGTCCGCGGCCCTCTCGACCCCTCGACTGGACTTCTGGGGAGGATTTCGATTGGCTAAAGCGGCTGAAGAAACGTAGCGCATCTTCCGTCCGCTCTCACACCTCCAACACTGGACTGGAACTGGACTTGGTTTGACTGTTTGGCCTCGTGTTAACACCGGGCTTGCCCTGCGCCACGGTCGAGTGACCTGGTCAAGCTCCTTCAGGTCATCTCGTAATGCACTACTATTGTTCCGTTGCACCATGTCGTGGGACCGTCCAATGCCTGGAACTCGCTTTGCTGGCTTACCTCAACTTGACCTCACACTGCAGTTGCCATGAAGGTTAGGTGCCTAACCTAGCTGTTCCTTTACATTGATCTGCTTCTCTACGGAACCCTCTCTGGCCAACCACAATTTGCGCGAGGCACCAGCTGGCCGAACCACATGCGCCTGATCTATATTGGTCCTGCGGTTGTTCCCGTTCGCTGCTGTTGAGTATTGATATTGCTAAGGTATTCCGACCTCCACAAGGGCATAGCCTGGGGTGTAGCATTGTGAAGTGTTGCAGCTAACGGTGATGGACTTCCAACTCTTATAGAATTCTATGAAAAGTCCGGCCGAAGCGCAGAATGCAGACGCAGGCGACAAATGACATGCGATAGACTTCTCTGCCCGTTCTTTAGATGACCGTTATGGTGAACCCCTGCCCTTAGCACCCCATCGCATCGCCTGCTATTTGATACTGAATATGAATTTGTGAAGCAAAGACAGTCCAGTTCAACAGCGACAAAACAGATCAGAACACAGTGGCCATCCACGTAGAGCAGAAAATGAATACCAACCATGATATTCATACAGTGTACTCAAATCCAGGGTTGCAGTGTGTCTAGGCAGACGCATCCTACCCGAAGAGCCCATCTCACCCGCATAGCGCATTGCGGCTCCAGAGTACCCAATATGCACCACATACAACCCCCAAAACTTAGCTCACCTTAGGTACGACACACCAAGGTAAAGATGGACAAAGAGCCACCTGAACAGGAAAAGAGAATGCATTTGTCAACGGGGTGTCTGGGGCTGCATACATGACTCTTGTGTTTGCATAGTGCAGACTTCCCAGGCAGGGCCCCCAATTGCCCCGACACATTGAACTAAGAGAGTTACAAGTTCATGCGCTGACGTCGACACGCCAACTTGTAGATCCCTCCACCCCCGTCCGTCCCTTCCTCACAGCCTCCTTCTCCGACTGCCCGCCCCCCCTTCCTCCCCAAGTCCCCCCTCGCTGAGTTTGAGAAATCGCCAGCGCAGTCGCAACGCAACCCGCTCAACCTCACACACCGTCATCATCCACCTTTGTCATTTGTTTTTCCACCCTCACGGGCTCTTACTTCGCACATCGCATTCCGTTGTTGATGTAGCTACCGCCCCGAATCTGACCTTTCGTGTCTTTTCGCTTCTAGTCGTAGCTACTATTACTGCGTACCTTACTGCTGCTACTGCTGCTGCAACCAACAGCCCACGCAAGGTCCAAGCTGCTGACGACGTTCCGATTCCGTTGCCCCACACCATAGAGCTCCAGCGTCGCTCGCTCTGACCTGCGGCACCCAACTCCTCTTTCGACCGTCTAGGTGTTCGCATCCCACAAACACACCGACAACAAGCCAAACCGACGACAACGACGATATCGACGAAGACGACGGACTATCCCGACCATTGCCGGCCATGTCGACCGCCCCTTTCAGGGTCAAGGCCCTGTTCGAATACTCCTCGCCCCACGAGGATGACCTTCAGTTCCCCGCCGGCGTCATCATCACCGTGACCGACGAGGAGGATGCTGATTGGTATACTGGCGAGTATGTCGACGACTCTGGCGCCAAGCACGAAGGAATCTTTCCTCGCAATTTTGTCGAGAAATTCGAGCCCCAGGCCCCGCCTCGCCCAACGAGAACTCGAACCAAGAAAGAGGCCGAGGTCACGTCCCCCATCTCGGAGGCGCCCGCCCCAGTTCCTCAATCCGAGCCTCAACCCACCCAAGAAGCTCACGCCGAGGTCGAGAAACCTACGCCATCCCCGGCCGCTGCCGTGCCTGCCTCGCCCGAAGCACCCGCAGCTCCCGAGCCCGAGCCTGTAAAGGCACCTGAGCCAATCCCCGAACCGACCCCGGTAGCTCCGGCTCCCAGAACTGAGTCCCCCGCAGCTACGTCGCCTCCCATCGCCAAGGCAGCGCCTGCTTCATCAAAGCCCGGCCCGCCGCCCAAGCCGTCCAGCAATGCCTTCAAGGATCGCATTGCTGCATTCAACAAAGCCTCGGCCGCTCCTATTACGCCCTTTAAGCCGAGCGGGCTAGCCCAAGGTTCCTATCACATCAAGAAGCCGTTTGTGGCTCCTCCTCCTAGCCGCAATGCATATGTTCCCCCGCCTACGCAGGCACCGGTTGCAAAGGTCTACCGAAGAGACGAGGACCCGGAAATTCTGGAAAGAGAGGCAGAGGCCCAGGAGAACGCTGAGAAGGCCGGCATGGCTCCTGGTCCCTCTGGCGAAGATGGTGAGGATGCGCCGAAGCCGACCACCTTGAAGGAGCGCATTGCTCTTCTTCAGAGACAACAACAGGAACAAGCACAGCGTAACGCCGAGGCCGCTGCCAAAAAGAAGGCTGCACGACCACCACCTAAGAAGCGCACCGACAGCCAGGAGGCTTCTGAGGATGCCGGCGCTGCTCCTGCCCCTGCACCTGAGGGCGATACGGAGGAGGTAGCAGGCCGGAGCTCGATAGATTCAGCTCGTGTGCCGCCCGCGCCCCGCCGCAAGCCTTCCAAGGGCCCTGCTGCCGAGAGCTACCATGACGGCAATGAAGCGGACATGTCTGGGGCTGGCGACACTACCGAAGGCCCTGAGGATCTCACCGAACGCGACGATAGTGACGCGGCTCCACGGCCTGTCCTGCGGCCCCAAGTCGCTTCTCCTATCGAAGCAAGAAAAGAGGAGGACGCAGCCGATGAGCAGGGCGGAGATGAGGAAGAAGAGGAGGAGGACGATATTGACCCCGAGGTTCGCAGGAA